ATCCATATGCTTTTGCTCAGGCTGATTTCAAACTCCTGGCCTCAATCAATCCTCGTACCCAGGCCTTCCAAAGTGTTGGGATTACAGGTGTGAGCCACCTCACCTGGGCCAAAATAAGACTTCAAATCAAAAAAGGTTACAAGAAATAAAGAACATTACATATTAGTAAAAAGTTCAATACAGCAAGAAGATATAACAATTATAAACATTTATGTACCTAATGACCATCCAAATATATGATATAAAAACTGACAGAACTGAAGGGAGAAAAAGTACTGTAATATTAGTTGAAGACTACATTACCCCTCCACCAATGATAAAAGGAAATAGAGGACTTGACACAGTAAACCAACTAGATCTAACAGACATACACTCTACCCAACAGTAGCATACATTCTTCTCAAGTACATATGGGACATTTTCCAGAATAGACCATATGTTAGACCACAAATTAAGTCACAATGTATTTTAAAAGATAGGTATCAGCCGGGCGCGGTGGCTCACGCCTGTAATCCTAGCACTCTGGGAGGCTGAGGCGGGCGGATTGCTCGAGGTCAGGAGTTCGAAACCAGCCTGAGCAAGAGCGAGACCCCGTCTCTACTATAAATAGAAAGAAATTAATTGGCCAACTAATATATATATAAAATTAGCCGGGCATGGTGGCGCATGCCTGTAATCCCAGCTACTCGGGAGGCTGAGGCAGGAGGATTGCTTGAGCCCAGGAGTTTGAGGTTGCTGTGAGCTAGGCTGACGCCATGGCACTCACTCTAGCCTGGGAAACAAAGCGAGACTCTGTCTCAAAAAAAAAAAAAAAAAAAGATAGGTATCGTACAAAGTATCTTCTCTGACCACAAGATAACATTAGAAATCAATTAACAGAAGCAAAACTGTTGTAACAGAAGTAAAATTCACAAAACTGTGCAAATTAACCACCACAGAGGCAAATTAGAAAATACTCAAAGATGAATGAAAATGAAAACACAGGATATCAACACTTACGGGAAATAGTAAAAGCAGTACTCAAAGGGAAACGTGTATAAATTCTTACATTAAAATCATCCCCACAGGGGTGCATACACTAAAATGTTATAATCACCTTTGGGTGATGGAATTACAAGAAATTTTGATCAGTTCCTTTGTGCTTTTCTCCATTAGGTATATGCAACTTAATAAGAAAAAGTTACTAGCACTGAAAAATCTGATCCATCACTTAGAAGCAGCATCTAGCACAAAGTTAATGCTCTATAATATTTGTAACTGAAGGAATTTCTAGTGTGTTTAGTTTTTTCTTTTTGTTCTGTTCTGTTTGAGAGGCAGCAAAGCAGATTAAAGAAAGGCAATTTTTTTAAGTTCATCAATCCTTTCAAACAACGAAAAAAAAATGAATACTTACACACCAAATCAAATTGTTCCAGAAAGTCCATGTAACCAGCAAAAACAGTAGGAGCTAATGGCATCATGATGTGCCACACTATTTTAAACATTTTACATATAGCTCATTGTTTAATCCTAACTTTAATTTTATGAAACAGATTACTATCTCTATTTTACAGATGAGTATACTGAAACACAAAGTTAAATAACTTGTCTAAAATCAGTAAGCTGCAAAGAGCTAGGTTCCAAAACCAGACAACGTTTAAAAAGTAAGGTCAAAGAGTAGAGTCAAATTATTTAGTTTTATAAAAAAGGAAGGTCAAGTCCCAAATGTCAAGGAGTCAAAAACCAAACAAAAACTTGGAAAAACCCGGGCGAGGTGGCTCACGCCTGTAATCCTAGCACTCTGGGAGGCCGAGACGGGTGGATTGCTCGAGGTCAGGAGTTCGAAAGCACTCTGAGCAACAGCGAGACCCCATCTCTACTATAAATAGAAAGAAATTAATTGGCCAACTAATATATATAGAAAAAGTTAGCCGGGCATGGTGGCGCATGCCTGTAGTCCCAGCTACTTGGGAGGCTGAGGCAGGAGGATCGTTGAGCCCAGGAGTTTGAGGTTGCTGTGAGCTAGGCTGACGCCATGGCACTCACTCTAGCCTGGGCAACAAAGTGAGACTCTGTCTCAAAAAAAAAAAAAAAAAAAGAATAAAGGTCAGATCAAAATTACATATAAGCCTTAAGAATACTTGTCATTTTAAAAGCCCCAGGCAAGGCCAACTTTAACGGTCACCAAGAAAGCACAAAGTGGGCAGTGCACACAAAAGGTTACAGCACTATGGGCAATAACAAAGTTGGGTAGGACTACAGTAATTATGCACAATTATTTCAAAATATTAAGGATCTCCAAAATACATAGTGCTCTAATCACAGCACAGTGGTAAATACTTTGAGAGCCATTAATAGATGACTATGATAAATTGGTTATAAGCCCATAGTATTAAAGTTGTTTTGACAAAAATATTTGGCTTTCCACTACCAGAACTTTACAGCACTGTTCCACATTAAGTGCTTCCTAGCTTTGTAAAACAAAAAGGCTAAGATATTAGTTTTCTGAATTTGTTTTTAGCAGAGAGCACATACCAAAAACATACCACACCTCCTAATATGACAACTCTAGCAAAAGACCATTCTTAAGGAAGAACCACTAAGCAGCACTTCTCAACTACGACAACAATTAGAATCATAGAGAGTCCTTTTCAAACACCAATACATAGCACCCACTCCATACCATTAAATCAGAATATCTGGGGATACATACAAGTGTTTTTAAAAGTTCCCCAAATGATTCTAATGTGTAGCCAGCATTGAGAATCACTATTTGAAGGAACTCTGAACTCCATGTTATCATTTTAAACACAGGTTTTGTCTGTAATTGTCTGAAAAATTATTCATCTTATTCAGCCAATTTGCAAACAGCTAAGAGAATAAGACAAATAGGACCCTTTAACTATTGTTTATACTCTAACCCCCAGTTTCTTCAATTGTAAAATGGGGATAATAGTATTAATATCTCATAGCATTTTTAAGAGAATTAAAATAACATTTGAAGTCCATGACTCAGAAATAGTACTAATATCCTCCTACTAAACTATTACCACTTCTCCAAAAACCACCTATATGCTGAAGGAACTCAGTATGACATACGTACAAGCTGTCAGAGGAATTTTATTTTATTTTATTTTTGAGACAGAGTCTCACTTTGTTGCCCAGGCTAGAGTGAGTGCCGTGGCATCAGCCTACCTCACAGCAACCTCAAACTCCTGGGCTCAAGCAATCCTCCTGCCTCAGCCTCCCGAGTAGCTGGGACTACAGGCATGTGCCACCATGTCCGGCTAATTTTTTCTATATATATTAGTTAGCCAACTAATTTCTTTCTATTTATAGTAGAGATGGGGTCTCGAATATAACTTTCAGATTTCAAAAACATTTCCACCAGTGTATATTAAAATGATGGCTAATTTCTGAAATCACAGCAGCTTCTCAACACATATTCTAAGCAAATATATTCTCCATTGTCTTCTATACAACCAACTGCACACACAAATGGGTGATAAGTGAAAATAAACTACTATACTGGAAAGTGGACCCTTTTAATTCTAAATACAATTACCAGAAGAATGGCCTAGGTTTGCAGATAAGAGAAACCATTACAGTGCTAAGATTTTATAACTTATACATAACCACTGTTTAAAGAACTCACATAATTTATATGCACTTAGAAAATAAGGCACAACAGTCCAAACTCCACATTTCATAAACTACCCACTGAATGAGAAAACAAGACTGGTAACTTTGGGCAAATTTTTGCATCTAATGGATTTTTAAATTTATTGTCAGATCTACAAAATGATGGAATCTTTGTTACTATTTATCCTAAATGCAATTTATCATAGTTCCATTCCAACTCAAGAATGTTACAAGGTATTGAATCCTAAAAGCAAAACAAGTTCTGAGCTGATTCAATGCTTCACTGTTAACAATCTCCCCAAAGTAGAGGGCATAACCTGGACAACCTAGACCACTACCATATCCAATTTAAGAGAAGATAGTGAAGCAAGTTAGCATAGCTCTTGAGAAACAGAAACTTTCCCCTAAATGTTAATACTCAAAACCTACTCCTTACTGTTAACGCGACTAAAAATAACCCATTAGGCCCTCACAATTTCATCAGCTTTAAGAATATCACCTGCCATATGTCCTAATAGAGTGCAACAAATGGAATCCAAGCATTACCCAAACATTAAATATGAAAAGAATCTATGTTATTTTGTGTTCTAATCCGATGCTGTGAAATGTGAAAAGACTTAGAACTAAAAGCAAATGTACCAGCTACCTCACAGCTACCTACAAGGTTAATTAAAGGAAACTTAATCCTTCATACTTGCACTTTTTCCGCCATAAACAGGAAACTCCAAAGAAAAGGAAATAGAGAAAAGCCTATTTTTGCTAAGAGGAATAAAGGCATTGCTTCCAACCCCCACAAGTGAGTGAACAAATGAAAAAGCAACCGGAGGAAGTGACGGGGGTGGGCGGCTGGTGAGCTCAGTTGGAGCCCTCAACATGCCACCCAGCGCACACGGTGCCCAAAACATCTGTAACAGCTGCAACAGGGAAACAAGGGCCGGGCGCTGGAGGACCATGGATTGGGGAGGAGGGTTTAGAGTTGCGCCTGCACGTTCAGTTTCTTCCTTTACCAACTCTTCTCTCACCTCCCAATGCCCATCCTCCCCATCCCATCCCGCTCCCTCCATAAAGAAAAACACCCAATAAAAGCAGAGGCAGAGAAGACAAAAGAGGCAAGAGGAGGCTGCAAAGAGCATCCAGAACAATGGGGAAGGCGGTGCGAAGCCAAACTCCTGGGGAGGACAATGAAAGGAGGTGGAGAGGCACGGAAGGAAACGCCGCCGAGCCCGGGCCCCGCCAGCGGAGGACGCCCGGACGCGAGGCCTGGACGCGCGGTTAGTGTCACCGCGGGCCGGGCCGGGCCGGGACGGGCGGGAGCCGCAGGGCCCGGCGCCACTGGCGGGGGCCTGCCCAGCTCCGCAGGCAGCCGCCGCTGGACTCACCGGCATTCTGGTCTCGGGGCCAGAGGTAGTATGTGGCCGGGATCACGATGAGCCCCACGAAGGAGGTGAGGAAGTAGAAGAAGGTGTTCCCACTGTCATCGTACTGGAACTGCTGCCCGGCCATGGCACCCCCTCCACCTCCTCCCTTTCCTCGCCGCCGCCGCCACGACCCCGCTCTGCACTCCGGCCCTCAACGCCCAGACCCTGTGTGGCGTAGCTCGGACGCCGCCGCCGCCGCCGCCGCCACCGCCGCCTCTCCTCCCCGCCCCCACGCTACTCTCACGGACACGCCGCCGCCGCCACCGCCGCCGCCGCCGCTGCCGTCGCCAGCTATCGCGAGAGGAAATAGTTCCCGCCCCGCTCGGTTTTTTCCTTCCCCCTGCCTGTCCCCCACCAGCTCGCTAAGGGAGACGTGGCGCGCGCAGCGGAGGAACTCGGGGAGGCCCCGCCCCCGTCCCCGCCCCCAAGCCGCAGCCCCGCCCCCGAGCTTCTGTAGGCCCGCCCCTAATCCCAGGGTCCTTCCCCCTTTCTCCTCGGCTCTTTCTCCCCGGCGACCCCGGCCGGGTCCTGCGAGCAGGGTCCCAGCGGAGGCTTCGGCGCCGACCAGTGGGCGAGGGTGGTTCACCTGGCTACGACTGGGGTCCGAGCTATTCGGAGCAGAGCTGATGCTTCCTTGCCTCCCCGTCTCTCCCATCCCTACCCCGCCCTGTCCTGCCCTCTCGGTTAATTGCCCTGGTTGATACTGTTTCCTTAGGTTCTGGATCGGCTCCTCCAGCCAGCACATTTTGGCAACATGTGTCATTTAGTCGGCGGAAGGGGTTGTTGTAGCTGTGTTTGCTATTAAACAACTGCAATCCACGCTGCGCCCATTTTGCAGATGCAGATTTACACCAAGCCCTACAGACGGCGCCCTCCCCATCCCAGAGCGGCTAGTATCAACAGCCACCAGCGAGCTAGCATTTCCTACGGCTCGGGCGGCAGGCTAAGACCTATTGCTTTGTACCACTTAATCGTCAGTAAACCCCATGGCATAAAGCCAAGCACGCCCTCTCCACAGATGAGGAAATTGAGGCTCAGAGGAATTGCCCAAGGTCACACGCAGTAAGACAAGGTCTGGGGATTCAAACCCACTTTGTGACACCACAAAGCCGGTGCCCTTGTCCACTACATCGCCGTAGACCTTAGCATTTCCTTAGAGTCGCCGGCACTCTCTCCGCGGGCTGTGGGCAGGAACCTGCGCTTCGGAAAGGGACGGCTAGGGGGGCAGGCGCTCTCGGGAGCCTCTGCCTCCCGGGGCTGCGGGATCCCAGAGGCCGGTGTCAGCCAGGCTGGCAGCGGAGCCTGCGAGCTCCTCTCCGAACCCCCCACAGTCGGGTCCCGCTGCAGCTTTGGCTGGGGCCTGTCGCAGCCTCTCCATTGCCCCTCCTTCTGTGGGTCGAAAGGATACCCTACCCTGGTTGGGGAGATTAAAGGGAATATTTGTGACAATGCTTTTCAAAGGAAAAAATATGTAATAAGCAAATTCCAAATATTCCAATATTCTTTAAAAATTATATTTTTTAAATACTCATTTTAAGACTTTATTAACTAAATGCGGTTCAATATTCCTTCTATCGTTGGAGGAGAAATCTGGTCGCTTATACTCTTTTATTTCACGTCTTTAAAACGAGTATTTATCATAATCAGTAATGCTTTCCTTCATAATAGATTATATTCACATGTATTCTCTCTTCCTTTTCAAATGTCCTATCTACCCGATTTGAAAGGAAATTTCTAACAATTGTTTTCATTTTTCTCCTCACTTTATAAAATTCCCAGAGACTACATCAGAAGGGAAAACTAAAACAGAGAAGTGAAGGAAAGATTGGACTGTGAAGTCAACAAAGCTTTGTGATCACCCCATACTGATAGACCCAGAATGAACAATTTGCCTTGCTGCAGAAACAAATTAGTTACAAACTTGGCTCAACTGAAGTGAGAAAGATCCTAAAGTTCCTTTTATGTTAGATCTGTTGAATTTGTTATTAAGTCTTCCTAGGCTTTAATAATGTTGAACTGTTTTTATTTTTTATTACTCCAATTATGTTTTACTCAGCATTTGTGTAAAGTTAATATATTGGTTTTATAACCTTGTGGCAATATAAATTATTGATGATAAATATTCCCCTTTTGACTTTCTTTCTGCAGGAGTAATCTCTTCACTGCTGCAGCTTTGAGGTCATGCGTAAGAGTGGTTTGAACCAAACTTAACCACGAAATAACAATTTGAACAAATTACATTAATTTGCTAAACCCCAGACCAATCTAAAATATGAAATTTTTTTACCAAAGCATATTAAAGATTTGAAACTGTATCCTCTGTGCCCTTTTACTACTGGTGTTGACTTACATTTATACTTACCAGAGTACATTTGTGTAGCCATAACCAACATTATTGAATTATCTGCTTAATGGTGTCAGCTACAACGAAACTGGAAGGAACTGAATTATTAAATAAATACATGAAACTATTTCTAGTTTTTTTCCCCTTCCCCCATGCTACAGTAGACCATAACCTTTATTGCCAAAACTTACCCACTCATCTATAATGTTAAACCCCTCATGACCGTGTTTTAGAATCAGAATTTTTTTCATTAAGAGGCTAAATCTCTTCTGACCAATTCTTTTTTATTTTTTGTTAATAGTGATGAAAAGTTGTCACCATCATAATAATAACATTAACATCAACAAAACATTTGTACAATACATGATTTACAAAAATCTTCCACAACATTATTCCAGTTGAAATTTCAAATCATGACATACATGTTGCAACTTTCATTAGGTAAAACATACTAGATCATTGCAATCCTTTCATTTCCTAACCCACTAAGGCCCCTCCAACCCAACAAAACCACAATCTCATATCAGGAGAGAATGTAGAGGGAGGTCTGATTTAGAAAGACAGTAAAAGTAGACTAAAGTCAACTCTGAATCCATGAAAGCATTTCTAAAAGAAGAATTGAGGGCTGTGGTTTTTCTTTAGTGTTGGGAACAGGTTGTATTTTGACTTCTTTCTTTTCATGAGTATATTGGACTTGTTAATATTGTTCTTTTTCTATTTCTAGTTTTGTGATTCCAAAGCAGAGAATTTATTGTACTAAAGCCAGTTGTCAAGATGCAGCAATGAACTCCAGTCATGTCTTTATTAATTAATTTTATGCATTACCAACTGCGATGGTTTGAATGTGTCTCCTCCAAAATTCCGGTACTAAAACTTAATTGCCAATGTTATAGTATTAAGAAGTGGGGCCTTTAAGAGGTGTCCGGCTGTGAGGCTCCTCCACATGAATGAGATGAAGCCCTTATGAAAGAGGCTACTCTGAGTGTTCAGTGTCTGGCTTTCTTGCCCTTCTACCTCCTGCCATGTGAGGACACAGAGTTCCTCTTCTCTGGAGGATGCAGCAATAAGGTGCCATCTGAGAAGTGGAGACCATACTTCTCACCAGACACTGAACCTGCCTTGATCTTGGACTTCCCAGCCTCCAGAACTGTGGGAAATACATTTCTTTTTTCTTTTTCTTTCTTTTTTTTTTTTTTGAGACAGAATCTCACTTTGTTGCCCAGGCTAGAGTGAGTGCCGTGGCATCAGCCTAGCTCACAGCAACCTCAAACTCCTGGGCTCAATCAATCCTCCTGCCTCAGCCTCCCAAGTAGCTGGGACTACATGCCTGGCATTTTTTTGTATATATATTTTTAGTTGGTCAATTAATTTCTTTCTATTTTTAGTAGAGACGGGGTCTCGCTCTTGCTCAGGCTGGTTTCGAACTCCTGTCCTTGAGCAATCCGCCCATCTCGGCCTCCCAGAGTGCTAGGATTACAGGCATGAGCCACCGTGCCCAGCCGGGAAATACATTTCTGTTCTTTACAAATTATCCAGTCTCAGATATTTTGGTTTAGCAGTACACACATACTAAGATACCTACATATGTAAATTGCTTAATAAAAAAATAATTATGGACATCATACATTAAGCCATAAAATAGCACTTAATGAAATGTTCTACCCAGATCAAAATATAACTTGGGAGAATAGTGATATATAAATGGAAGAGTTCACTATGGGCAATTCCAAAGGTACATATTTGAGTAAGAAGGAAAAAAATCTCAATAGGGATAATCCTAGGACTCTGGGAGGTCCAGGAGAGAGGATCACTTGAGCTCATGAGTTTAAGACCAGCCTGAGCAAAAGTAAGACACTTGGGAGGCTGAGGCAGGAGGATTGCTTTAGCCCAGCATTGGAGGTTGCAGTGAGCTATGATGCCACTACACTCTACCCAGGGCAACACAGTGAAACTCTGTCTCAAAAAAACCCTTAAATTTCAAGGAAAACATCATTCATCTTGTTTTAATCATTTTTTAAAAGCAAATATTTTTGAGTCCTGAAGCTTATAAATTGGGGGCCCTCATTAAGAAAAAGAATATAAAATTACAATGATAAGGCCGGGCGCGGTGGCTCACACCTGTAATCCTAGCACTCTGGGAGGCCGAGGCGGGCGGATTGCTCGAGGTCGGGAGTTTGAAACCAGCCTGAGCGAGACCCCGTCTCTACTAAAAATAGAAAGAAATTAATTGACCAACTAAAAATATATACACAAAAAATTAGCCGGGCATGGTGGTGCATGCCTGTAGTCCCAGCTACTTGGGAGGCTGAGGCAGGAGGATCGCTTGAGCCCAGGAGGAGTTTGAGGTTGCTGTGAGCTAGGCTGACGCCACGGCACTCACTCTACCCAGGGCAACAAAAAAAAAAAAAAAAAAAAATTACAATGATAAACGTTGGTATAAAAGTTAACATTTATTTATGATAATATTACTATAACTGCTATAGGTTTGTGTTCTACAAACAGAAGGATTCTGATAAATTATATTTTGCATGATTTCTATCTATTTTTTTTAAATATGGGACTTTTTATCTCAATGAGAAGATTAAAAAAAGTAAAAAAATAGGACTTTTATTATTGTATACAGTGCATGTTGAGTACATTCCTACCAAGAGAGATTTACCTTTTTGATTAAAGCTCAATCAAGAGAACCAAATCTAGCTTGGACAACATAGCAAGACCCTATCTCTACAAAAAATTTAAAAATTAGCCAGGCATGCTGGCATGTCCCTGTAGTCCCAGATACTCAGAGGCTGAGGCCAGAGGATTGCCTGAGCACAGGAGCTATGATTGCACCACTGCACTCCAGCCTGGGTGACATGGTGAGACGCTGTCTCTTAAAAAAAAAGAGAGAAAGAGAGAACTAAATCTTCTGCTTACAATTTTAGTATCTGATAAGTAGAAGAATTTTCCACATAGTAGTTTCTGACTCTGTACGTTTCAATGTTTCTCCTCCACTTACTACATACTTCAGGTGCCAGGCCCCATGGGATATATTCATACTGTAAGGCCAGGGC